GGCCAAGGGGAGAAAACGCGCCCGTGAGCCCGAGCGAGGGGCGCCCCGGCCCAGCGCGGCTGTGTCCCCCCCACCCCCCAAGGGGCGCAGGGCCGGGCTGCCCACCGGGCCCACGAGGCTCCGCAGCGGCTGCCCGTAGGCCTCGATCTCCTTCTGCAGGATGTTGTGCTCGGCGATCTGCCGCTCCAGCTCCGCCATGCCGGGCCCGTACTGGCCCTCACAGACCTGCTTCTGCAGAAGAGCAGGCCCAGGCTGCCAGCCCCGCCCGCGCCCACCGCGGTGTCCTGGGGGGCCAGGCCCCCGGCGGAGGCTGGGCCGGCCAGCGGGCAGCCTGGGTGAGCGACCCTGAGGGCAGCCCAGCCGGCGGGGGGCTCTCGGGGCCCTGGTCTCGCCGCCCGCACCGCCCGGCCTGGACAGGCCTCAGCTCTGCAGGCCTCCGCTGCTGTCCCTGCCGGGCAACCTCTGGGGGGCAGCACAGCCCAGCCCCCATGCTCAGGGTGCCTTTGCACCCCCTGCCCCGCCCCGGTCACCCCGCTTCCCACTCCAGCCTCCTCCGTGCGGAAGCCTCTGCTCCTTCCCCCCCAGGCCGACCTTCCACCAGCCTCCGGCAGGAGGCCGCCCCTGGGCAGCGAGTGCCCTCGCCCAGCCGGGCCCCACGCTGCGCCTGCCCGGCGCTGGCTCCTGACCTGTTTCTGCTCCAGCGCCCGCGCCCAGTCCACGCGGGGCCCCACGCCAGGCGGCAGCACCATCCGCTCGTACAGGGCGCGGTACTCGGCACACTCCTGGGTCACCCGCTCGTGCAGCTGCTTGATGCTGCGGGGCACAGGGCAGGTCAGCGGCGGCCTCCCCCCGCCCGCCCCGCCCGGCTCCCCCTTACTCCTTCTCGATCTCCTCGGCCTGCGGGTGCTTGAGCCGCCGGGCCTTGTCCACGTCCAGGAAGAGGTCCTTCAGCAGCACCTCGGCCTCCTTCAGGCTGCGGCCGGCCTCCTGCCGGTGCTGCAGCGCCTGGTGCTGCTCGCTGCGCGCCTGGTCCTGGGGGAGGGGCGGCGTCCTCACGGCCCAGCACAGCCCCGGCCCGCCCGGGCCTGGCTGCAGTGTCCGCCTTGGTGCCCACACGGCAGAGGGCTAGACCCAGGGTGGGTGCGGGCGGGCCCAAGGACACACACAGGCCTGGGACCAGAGCCCGGGGCCCCCCGCCGGCAGCCCCACCAGGGCACTGCCCTCCCGCCCGGAGCTCGCAGAGCGGCCGGGCGGGCTGAAGCCGGTCAGCCTCCCCGTGCCCATCACCGGGCGCCAGGGCTGGCGGCCTCCCTGCCACCTGCCCCTCTCACCTGCTGGAGCTTCTTCTGGGTCTCCAGGATGTCCCGCTCCACCTGGTCAGCGTTGGCCTGCATGCGGGAGATGAGCAGGGCCAGCTCCTGGGTGGCAGCCCTGGGGGCGGGACAGCAGGTGTGGGCTGTGAAGGCCCCTGCGCTCCCCGCAGACCTGGGGCCCCTCCGCCCGCGCCCGCGCGCCAGGGGCCCTGCTCTAGGAGAGCCCCGGCTGGCTCCGCTGGCTTCCGCAGGCGGCTCTGTGGGTGCCTAGTCCCGAGGGCACCGCCCCCGCTCGGGGGTTCAGCCGTGCGTGGCGGCGCCCGCGCGCTCCCAGTCCTGGCACTGCATCCCGGCCCCGCCCGAGCCCTGCGGCTGCCCGGGGCCGCCCAGGGGAGACAGGCCCGGGGCAGCACCGCGAAGCCCAGAGCCAGGGCGGCTGGCCTTGGGGGCCGGCAGAGGCCGCACGTGTCCCCCGCCCAGCGTCCAGCCCAGGTTTCACTGGGGCCATTTAGCGCTAGGGCAGGGCAGGGCCAAGAGATTATCAGGGCACCCCACCACTCTCCAGATTTGGGGGTGCAGAGCCCAGGGGGGGCCTGACTCCTCCAGGCCACAGGTCAGCAGCAGAGAATGAGCCTGGCCGAGCCCCCAGGGTCCTTCCACGCACCGTGGAAGCTGCCGTGCGCCCCGCTTGCAGCCTCCGCGGGCGCCGCTGTGTGCACACCCACCGATGTGAGCGACAGGAGGGCGGGGACACCGCCCCAGTCCTGGCACAGTGGGTGCTCGCCGCTGTGCGCTGAGCGAGGGTTTCGCACAAGGGAACGATGCGCCCTCCTGGGGGCTGTGTCAGAGGGGGTGCCGTGGAGGAGCAGCCCCCCGGGGCGTCTGCCTGAGGACGGGGAGCAGCGGGCCCTGAGCCCTGGGCGTCCTGTTCTCTGGCCGGCTGCTCCCGTGGGGGGCTGCTCCGCCTGGACAGGACCCAGGTGCCCTGGGGAGGACAGGTCACTCCCGAGGGCTTGGCTGCGGCCCTCCCCGCCCGCCCAGAATCACAGCCTCGGCGTCTCGCTCTGATCCTTATCGGCGTAATGAGCCTGTCTGAGCCTCGTCTGTCCCCTCGTCTCCACCCGACCCCGGGTGAGCGCCACCCCGCCCCTGCAGCGGGGGAGGCCAGTGAGCAGGAAGGCCTGTTGGGGGGGCGACTGGGTAAACTGAGGCAGGCTCTGAGGACACCACTGGCCCACGGCCCCTCCCCTTTCCCCACCGCACCCCTTCCACATGCCACACACCCACACAGTAAAAGAAGCACCCCAACCCTGCAACAAACTCTCAAGGCCAAGATGAGCCGTGTGGAGCGGCTGGGCACGGCAGAAGGGCACAGCCCGCCTGCTGCCCCAGGGCCCCTCCCGCTCGGGCCCAGGGCTGCAGCCCACTGTGCAGACCCCGGGGCTCGTGGCAGCCTAAGTGGAGGCTCGAGAGCAGCCTGAGGAGCGGGGCAGGAGCCCCAGCGGCCAGGCTCCCAGAAGGGCAGCAGCCGCTCAGGCCCTGTCCAGCGAGCTCCTGCGGAGTGGCTGCAAGGCCGCCCTCAGGGCCGCTGGAGGTGGGCAGCCCCAGGCTGTCCCTGGCTTCCCGAGGGCTGAGCTGTGAGCGTCCACCCCAGGCCCTTTGGCCTCAGGACACCAAGTGACAGCTCTGGGCAGCTCCAGGTGGCTGGGGTCCCGGGGCACCCCCGGGACACCCCCCCGCCCTGCCCAGCCCCCGGCCCCCACTCACCGGCTGTGTTTGCTGGGGGAGCCTTTGGGGGAGCCCTTGGCTGGGGAGCCTTTGGGGGACCCCTTCCCCTGGGAGCCTTTGCTCAGCCCCTTGAACATGGTGGCAAAGGCAGGAGCCGGCTCAGGCTGGGCTCAGGCTGGGCTCCGGGCGGGCGGCGGCGGCGGGCGGCGGGCAGGCGTGCGTCCTGGCTGGCTGCTCAGCTGGGCTCTGGCGAGGTGGGGTGGCCGGGCACTGGGAAGGCAGTTTCTGGGAGCCCCTCCCTGCAGGCGAGGCAGCTAGCGGCAGGGCGCGCATGCACCCCACTCACTCACGGCCACTCCTGCACAACCAGTTTGGGAGGAAAGGGCAGGCCCGGAGGGCGGGGCGCCCCGCCTGCCTGACTCCCAGAGAAGGTTTGGACTTGTTGCACCCGCACGCCCAAGGGAGTGGGCAGGGAGCACGCCCAGGTGGGAAAGAGCCAGGCCAGGGCCCAGAGCTCCGACAGACAGATGCGCCCGCACTCAGGACGGGGCGAGACCGGCGAGCCCGGCTCGGTTAGTAAACACCTCCGGCCGCACGGCGCTTTCTGAGGCGTGCCCGCCGGGCGGTGGCGGGAGGGCCTGGTGCTCTGCTCCCCGCCGGGGCACCCAGGTCTGCACTCAGGCCGGGCAGCTGGAGGGCATTCACCCCAGGCACGCACACCCGGCAGCCCCCAGACGCGGGCAGGGGCCTGCCTCCCGTCTTCCTGGCTGGCTGGCATCACCCCCGGCCTGGGGCTCTGGGGTCAGAGGCACCTCGCTGGAGTCCCGAACCCCCAGCCCAGCCCAGAGAGGCGGGCACCAGACCTCTCCCCGGGCACAGCCTTAGCCTTCAGGTGCTGCTGGGCCTGGCTCTGGGCCGCCGGCCGCTCCTGCCACTTCCCCAGAAGTGCCCAGACGTGGCCCCTTGAGGCTTTTCCGAAGTCAGGTGGAGTGGCTACGGGTGCTCGCGCTGGCCTCTTCACCCCACAGCTGGCCATGGGCCCGTCACGAGGCCGCCCCGGCAGAAGTCTCCTGGCCCCTTCGCAAAGCCCCGTGCACGGCAGCGCCAGGTCTTCCTGCCAGTGATTCCAGCTTTGGTGGGGGGGGGTCCGTGGGGGGACGCAGCCGCTGGGACTGAGCCGGGACAGAGCCGGGACTGGGCCCCGCCCGCGTGGGACAGAAGTGGCCGGAGTCCTTCTGGCTGCCCCTCCCTGCACTGAGCCTGGACAGGGCACAGGATTCACCCGTCAGGACAGTGAGGGGCCAACGGGGTCTCCGGGGGTGCGAGGGCAGCGGGCAGCCTTGACAGACAAACAGCAGCGGGCAATGGCAGGGGGCGGCCTGCTCCGGCCAGGCCGTGAGAGACGAGCCAGATGGCAGGCCCAGCCCTCTCCACTTGGTCCTGGGTGACAATTTTCTAACCACCACCAGCACACCTGCAATCAACTGTCCTCAGAAAGGGGCCACCTAAGTGGCCAGGTCGCCCGTGGCCTGCACTCAGTGCCCAGTCAGCAGTCTCCCTTATCTCCCTGATTGAGCAAGATGGCAACCGCCCAGGGGCGCCGAGCCAGGAGGGCGGCGGCGGCTGGCACCCGCCTCCCTGTCGTCTCCAGGCTGCCTCCTGGGAGGCGTTGGTGGGGCAGGGGGGCCCGGGGCCAGATGTCCAGACTCCAGCCGGAGCGGGCTCAACCAGGGCGGCCCCGGGAGCTGGGTCCGGGCAGGGCTGAGGCCCTGGGGGAGGCGGCTTGGGGGCCCAGCAGCCAGGCTGAGGTCTAGGGGCTGAGCTTCGCCGCCTGCCTGAGAAGCCCTCCGGGAAATAAGCAGGAACCACTGGCGCCCCGCACACGCCCCGGAGGTCAGCACGAGCTGAATCACTGCAAGAAAAACAGCCGAAGTCCTGGCGTGACTGAGGCAGAAGCGAATCAGACCCCGGAGCCCCAGAGAAGGGAGCTGTGCAGAGCAGGCCCAGCTGGCCCCGGGGGCGCCGGACCCCGAGGCGGCCGAGTCCAGCCCAGGGGAGGGACAGAGGCTGGTTTCTCCCGGAAGCCTCAGCCTCTGCAGAACCATCTGGAAAGATGCTGGGTGTCGAGTGGAGGAGTCATTCTTAGACTGGGGCTTGCTGTTCCCAAGGTCCCCACAGTCCCTGCGGCCACCGGGGGCTGGGGCGGGGGGCCGGGGGGCCCGGGCCCCTCGGAACTGAGCAGTGATGCCAGGGTAAGACTCAGACCGATTTCACAGGCTACTATGAACAAAGATGCTAAAGTTCGCAAGGATATTTTTTATTACCTGTCAAATGACACCATTAGGTGAAATGTTTTGAAAACTGAACATAATTACTGGTTTCACCTGTTGCTCTGTATTCTTCAAACGCGGCTGTTAGGATCAAAATGACGGAGGTGTCACCAGAGAATAAAGAAAAAGGGAAAAAACAATTTGAGAAAAGAATGAAAATGAAAACTA